AAAAAAAAAAAAAGAAAGAAATGTCAAGGTAAATTCAAGCAGAAACAGCTAAAAGAGTTAAAAGCAGCCATTGAATTATTCTTGTTCAGTGTCATTGTCTTTGAAACCATTGCTCTTTTCAAAGACCATATACACGCATTGTTTTAATAAGAACAACAATTTCATTAAATTTAAAAGTTTACGTGTATGGCAGAGGCCCTTTGTATAAAATAATTTTATAAGGAGAGTTATAACTCTACAAAACTGCCTTATTTTTCCAGGTCTTGAAAGTTTTTCACTCCTTACAAGTACAGTCTTCATTTTTCTGTCATTCATTTTAGTGGAAAATATTTGAATTCTCTGAAAGATTTCCCCTTACACAGGTTCTGATTTTCACAATTTTACTATAAAAATATGGCTATTGCCATGCTGATGATTGTGATTTGCTTCACTTTTTAATTACTTCATTATGATTGGTCATTAAAGAATTTCAGAGAAGTTTCTCTAGGGAGATGAGATGTTCTTGCATTAAGAAGATATGTTTTCCTTTTTGTCCTTCAGACCTACTGGGGTTTAATCAGTCAGCCTCAGCTGCGACTAAAGCGTTGAACAGTTCCGATTCACTCAGAAGCTCTTTGAAAGAAGAGCCTGGTGATCTGCTTTCAGGAAGTCAGCACTGAAAACCCTGGGAAGCACACATCTACTCCGACATCCAGGAATCCGCATGCACAGTGCTGTGCCGGGCTCTAAGAAAAGACGTTAACGCATCTGATCTAGGTAGGGAAATAGGCCATCAACCAGGTAATAATGATACACTGGAAGTTGTGAGCTTGGTATAAGTCACTGTTATAGATGGTGGGGATATGCGGCAGTAGGGATGGTAAAGATGAAAACGAAGCCTGAAAGGGGTCTTGCAGGAATAGCAGATTACCTGGTGTTCATGTGAGTATTGTTCTGGGTAGTCTCAGAATCATCTTGATACAGGACTGCCAAGCAGCTACATCTGTGGATTGGAGTTGCTGCTAAGTATTTACAATCTTATCGAGAGGATAAAAACTAATTGTTGTCCAGTGGATGTTGATTCATAGTGACCCTGTAGGACAGGGTAGAACTGCCCATGTGAATTTCCTCTTAACAGGAGTGGAAATCCCATCTTTCTCCTGTGGAGTGGCTGACTGGTGGGGAGGAGCTGGGGTGGATAAAGTACTTAAATATAAAAAGTTAATAATGGATTAAAAAACACTACCCTACATACCCTTATTTGGGTCACAACCTGATCCAAAATAAAGGGATTAGAGTGGGGCGAAGACCCTTAATCATGGCATAACCCATGAAAACAAAATGCATGTAGGGGGAGTTTCCCCGGGATGGAGACTACAGTGCCTTCTCTCTTACAAGAAGTAGAGGCAGGAAGAAGCCGCAGAAATTGAGAGACCTCCTGCCAGCAAGAATGCCGAGCTAGCAGTAGAGCGTGTCTTTTGAACCCAGGATCCCTGCACTGGGAAGCACTTAGAACCCGGGAAAGATTGATAACCAAGGCCTTCCCCCAGAACCTGTGGAGAGAGAACAAAAGTTCCCTACAGCCAGCATCTGTAATTTGGGATTTCTAGTTTCTTAAAGGAGCCCTGTGGTGTAGCAGGTAAAGTGTTAGACTGCTAATCACAAGATAGGTGGGTTCATACCCACCAGCTGCTCCTGAGATTTACACTGTTGGACACGCTAAGGAGCAATCCTGTTTTGTACTAAAAGATCATTCTGAGTTGGAGTTAATATTTCTGTTACAGTAGCACTAGATAGCTAAGACATATGGGAAATTGCAAGTAATTTGATTCAGAAGGTAGGAAGGAATAGTCAGTTATAAAGTGGGACAGGTATTCTAGAACACCAATGCAGTGGATTATTAAATATGGGTCTTCTGGCCTTAGCTTTTGTTACTCCTCCCAAATGACCTTTGTTTTTGTTTTTTTCTTAATGAGTCCGGGTAAGAAGATTAGAGAAGATAATGATTGAACTCGATGATTCAGTTGTGCATGATTGTTGACAGTTAATTGTGATTGCCACGCTGCTGGGTATAAAATGAGCCATCCCAGAAGCAGGAAGGGCAAGGTCTTAATACCAAAAAAATAGAAGTACCAGGAGGAGAACATGTTCTTTGGACCTGAAGATCTTTGCATGCATACTGGACCTCCATGAACTAGGAGACAACTCTGATATTAAAGGACAGCAGAGGAGACTCACTCACTATCA